GCTGGCAAAGGACAATGGATTAAGTTCTGTTGGTTTGGTATTTCCTCCTTTCTTCCTCATTTTCTTTTTTTAGCTTCTGCTGTTGATATAGCACCTGAAGGATTCCTTAGCCTTGCCACTTAAGACAGAAGAACTACAAAGACCAGGATCTTGACTATGAAAAAAGCAAACTCTGTGTAGCTTATCCTAAGGCTTCTCTTTACTTTCTCTCTCTGAAAATAGAGCAGAAGTCTTGGGATAGACAGAGGCTTAGTCATGAATGCTAAAATAGAACCATACCACACAATGGATAGATGTCATATTTAAACAGCTTGGGAAGATAAACAAGTTCTATGCTGCTATTACCTGAGGAAATGTATCTGAAGATTTAACACACCCAGGATAAATGACCACAAGAGAGAACTAGATCTGGAAAAAACTTATTTTTAAATCACATTCCTACATAGAAAATGCATTCCATAACAATGTTTGTTTGGATTGTTTTTGTATTTCTAAAATTATAGCTTATTACTGTATTCTTAGATTTCATACTTTAAAAAATAATACAGTGCTTAGATTTATAAAGGATTTGTTTAGATACTTGTAACAGTAACAATTGCTTTATTAGTCATTTAGTTTTCTTTATAGACAAGAAGATAATTATTTTTTACAGGACAACAGTTTTAACCTTTCTTAATAGAATACACAAGCTTGTAGTCTTGTCTTGGAGCAATAATTTAGTGACCTGCACTCTTGAGTCCCCATCTAAGAGGCTTGATTTTTATCCTTATCTTTCATGAAGATATCTCAGCTGCTGAGGTATATGATCTCTATGAAATGTATTCATTTACTAGAATATAGATTTTAAATATATATATATAAAAATATTTGTAGGTGTGTTCAGGCTGGGTGCTGTAGGACCTAAAGAAGCAGGTCTGCACTGTACCTTTTGTCCATAGATGAGTGGAAATCAGCTGCACATCTTAATTCCTAGGCTTAAGGATCCCGAGTTTGTTTTGGAGCTACAAGCTTTGTAACAGTATTGGTAGTTTCTGTAAGGGATTATTTTGGGAAAACATGGAATCTTTTTAGGCAAACATCTCCTTCTTGAGACCTACCTGTGAAAGGAAAGAGGAAATTTTAATAATTCCATTAACAGTAATTTAGAGAAAATGACATGATTTATCACACCATTTCAATGAGTTAATACTGAAGTTGGTGCAAGTTTTTTGTTATTCTGTATTGAGAAATTTCTGAATTGGATGTTTGGGAATATTTATGTGAGAATAGCTCCTCGTATGACACTTCCAAGCGTGTGCCTAAAGGTGGGCACAAAACATGACAACTTTTCTGAAATCATGTGTTTCCAAAAAGCTCTCAAGTATGGACGAGTCCCATGTTAAGGATTTCAGGGCTGTGATCTTGGAGAGGCTTTTGGTAAGCCTGGCAGAATCAAGTTCAGATAAGGACTAATAACTGATTTTTTGGTTAAATTATTTTAAAAATATTTTTCATGTAAATACAGTTCTTCCTCTGTGATTTGTATATAGCTCAACTCTCAATTTTATAATCCCCTGGGAAGAGAGGGAGTTGTACATACTTAGCCTGAAGTGTTTTATGTTAGACTTTAATAAACTTGTTTTGTAATTTTCCCTCACCTTGTGTCTCCTGTCTGTAACTGCAAGGGGTAGCAACCAAAGAAGGAGGGAAGCAGTCTAACATAACCACCACCAAAGCACCCTCTCAGGAGGACACACAGAACCCTAACACAGAAAGGATGGTTACATTTTCCTCTTGGCAGTAAACACACTTGATTTTTCTCATAGAAGATATTTCCAGTCTGTTCAAACTAAATTAAAACAAAAACTATATTCTAAATACAGTGTAGTGTAATGATTCTTTGGTTAATTTTTTTTTTCAACTTGTTTTGAGATGTTTGTGGGGTTGTTTGGTTTGGGGCTTTGTTGGTTTCTTTAAAGTGCTTTGAGGAGGTACTTTTTATGCAGAAGTAGATGCTCAGTGAACTACTTTATCAGAATCTATATCTTATTCTTACTAAAATGTTTGATTTATATAAGGTGGTGTTGTGGCTTAAGCACTCAGTACCACTGGTCTGCTGGTTAGTCATTTTCCTGCCCTTTAAATTGGGGCAAAAATGCTGCTTTTCAGCAAAGTACTGTGAGTTCTGGAAGCTGAAACAATGCTTTACAGGGCAGGATTATTCTTGCTTTAGCTACTGGAATAACCAACTCAGAAAAACATAAAAATTTCTATCCTGTATAAGTTCTCTTATTCCAAGAACACACGATACACCTTTAAGCATTTCAAGGTTCAGTTTTCAGAGAAGTAAGTGTCTTTCATATAGGCCTCTTTAAGCAATACAGGATTTTGCACAAATAATTATTTCAGTTGGCAGGAATTCAGTAGGAGTTACTTTGCAGCCCTTTCTTACAAAGGAATGTGAAAGTAAACTATAGCAGATGAGCTATTTTTATGGACATTGTCAATAATGCAGAGTTCTCTTACAGGCTGTTAAACAAAGGTTCAGATAGAACACAAGTATTAAAGTACTAGCAATTTTGAAAGTAGATATAATTTTTTATAATTTTTCGTGTTATATTTTGTGTATTATATTGTTGTCATCTTACCACATCTGAAAATAAAACACTCCTGTGGGTTGAGTTGGGACTGGTTTAGTAGATTTGGTTCCCTTTTACCACAATAGATTAAAGAATGCCCAAATTGAGTGTCAATTGTCTTGACAATGAAATTAACCTGAACTTCATGTACAGGACAAGGGAAAGAAAGATATATGGAAAAAATATACCTTGATCTGAATCTTGCAGTGATCCTTCTGGCAAGAAATTCTACGTAATCAATGTCTCAGTACTGAGAGAACTCTCTTCAGACCATCAGTATAACCTGCAAGGCTCCAGAGCAGCAACACTTAGAAAAATACAAACACTGATAACACAGGCCTATTTTTTTTGCAATCTTACACATTTTCAGAGCATGCAGCTTCTTCTCAAACAATGTCCAGTGGATCCTCAACTTTTGTTCTCATTGCTCTCTTCTTCCTGTTCAGCAGTGGTTAAAATATAAGCTCCTCTCTACAGTAGGGCCCTTACAGCATGACCTATGGACTTTGTGCTTAACAAGATGACTACAGGTTAAGGTGTCCCTGTGCAGCACACTAAGGTGTTTCATTTCTGGTGTCCTGCTCTGCCCTTACCTTTTGGGTATCAGATCTGTTAAGCTGTTATGTGAAGAGAACACAGGAGATTCTGGTCTGGAGGGTGAAGAAAATTTCATTAGGTCTTAAACACTGTTTCTAGCAGGCAAGAAAGTGGAAGGTGCAGAGAGAGACTCCCTGTCAACTTGTGTGTAGTAGAACAAACATACCTGCTCTGTGGGCGTAACTCTTAAGTCCTGTTTTGATGCTGAGTGCATCTTTGAATCATCAGAGCCTGACTAACTTGTGTTTGGGGGAAAGGAGGAAAGAAAAAAAAACCAACCCAACACTTAGAACAGGATGTACAACTTCGGTCATTTCAGCCTGGTGAGGGGAATCCACATGTCCCCATTTCTACACTACCACTGTGATAATACAGAAAGAGAACATCAGCATGCTTAGTTATTATAGCTGAAATTATTTAATCTTCCCCCCTCCTCGTACTTCAATCTCCTGTGATTTTAGCCTGCATACCTACATTCAAGGATTATTCTGTTACTTGTTCCATACTAATTTTAACAGGCACATTTATACACATGCGAGATTGCACTAGAGAAAGCCTTTCAGCAAACCTCTGTTGTCCTATTTGGTGACTTTCTATTTAGGAGCAGAGATCTAGGTATGAGCAGAGTGGGTGTGCAAAGGAAACAAGCTGAGTGATTCCCAAACTTCTAAATGTGTATCCAATGCATTCAACAATTTTTAACGACTATAATACAAATAATGCTGTCTTGTTCACATGTAAGAGTTACCACATGGATATGATATAAATCTTTTGAAAATGTTTTCAAGAGGCAGGATGGGATAATGAAACCAAGTTTGGTGGTTTTCATTTGTAATACAAGAAACTAGTACACACTGCAAGTTAATAAAAATACCATTTATATACCAGGAAACTAGGTTCACTAGCTTTAAAGTTCCAGCATTATAGTAGCTTAACACTGAAATTCATTTATTTAAAACAAAAAGTCCCTCTTGGATAAAGATCAAAGCCATTACTAAGTAAAAGGTGAGGGTATATAGAGGGCAGTAGCAACATGCAGGTTTACCCAAACCTCGCTTACCTTTACCAGGAAACTTGTCCTGCAGCAGCTCTGATCTGCTGTCAGGCAGAGCTGCTGCCCAGCAGCAGTCCTGGGGGTTTTACTCAGTTTGATCTGCTTGGCTATACTCCAGCCTGCAGAGATGCAGAAACATTACCTGTGGGCTCTACCCACTCCATGGAAACCTGACTACAGAGGCCACAGCCCAGGAAGGGCAAATTGGGCAGCCTTTTCTCTGCAGCTGCAATGCAAAAGAGAACTCTGTGGTCATGCTAGTCTATCCATAGGCTCTGCTGCTGCTCTCAACCAGCCTCTGCATATTTTTTTAAAATAAGCATTTGATAAAAATCCTGATCTGATAAGGTATTCTACATAGATCAGAGTAGTTCAGCTGCTAGAAGTTCAGTTCATGCATCTGCAGTCTGAACTCTTCATGTGCCTCTAGTCAGTGACTGTTCTACTCCCTGTTACTGCTAAGAATACCTGGTGTCACTTGTGGTGCACTATGCTGTGGTGGAAAGGTTATTATGCTAAATTCATCTGTCACCTGGGAACCCTGGTGCTACAGCTAGCCATGGCAAGGTGAAGGAAATGGTGTGCAATAGAAAAGACTGCAGCAAAACAACTCCAGACTAAAGACCCTGAAGAAAAAACATGCAGCACGTTTGATGCCGGTATAATCTATTTTACTAGAAACAAGAAAAGAAAACTTCAAGCAAATGGAGAACACTGAGCTGCTACCTCACTCACAAGCATTCTGAGACTGCCACAATTGCCAGACTGGCATTGGCATCTTTGTTCATTGCCTCCCCATAACTTGGTGTCCAGTAGTAATGTTTCTGCAGGCCATGGGAGAGCTCTGCGAGGTAAACGTGCCCATCCACTTCATAGGGTTCCACGTCTGTGCAATGCAGGCTCAAGCGGCCTGTCTGAATTAGTTCTGAAAATGCCTGAAATGAGTAAGAAGAAGAGTCTGATGTGTAATAATCCACTCCAGCTGCAGTGAAGGCTCTAGAATACAACACGCAATAGGCAAGTACTGGATCATTTTGTTATGCTGTTGCCCAGTGAGTCTCATTACAGCAGCACCACGTTATAATTATTAAATAAACCCAACAAGGAATCTTGCTCACAAATTGCTGTAGTGTTCTCAGTGATGGTAAAACCAGATCAGAACAAACAAACCCACCCCAATGCTCTTAGAAGAGCTGAGAAGCAAACACTTACTACACAGGTGGCTTCATCAAATTTGTTCCCCCAGATGTAAATATTGGAAAGTTCCATGTTTGTTTTCATTGCACGTGAAAGAGCTACAAGTCCTTTCCCACCTATATTGTTGCTTACTACAGACAACCTAAGAAACAGAGAAAACAGTTATACAAATGTGTGCCAAATGACAGAATTCCCCTCTCTTAGTTAAAACTGTTTGACTTTATTCTTATATTTTATCATTATATATTGCTGTATATCCTGTACTATATATTAAAAATTATATTTGTTATCAATAATGTAATTATTTGTACCAAGTCCTGTCCTACTGTAAAATCTTTTTCAGATGACTAAAGGCAGTTTAGACTATTGACTTGTAGTATTTCTAAAGGCACTTCCATGAATCGTGCAGCCAGGTTGTTCACTGTTCAGTTCTTCAGACTTGTGTGTGGTGACCAGGTCTCATCTCTAGTCTGCTTTGAAGACCAGGCCTTGGCATTTATCCAGGATAAGCTTTGATCTTTGTGGAGTGGCAGTTATTTTTATATTAGTGGACCTGGAAGGCTTTCAGAGGCACCTAAGAGCCGCCACCTCCTCAGTCTGCTACTTAAAACTAATGGCTTCAGGTAACACCTTTGATCAGCTTTTACATCCTGCAGGGCAGGGTTTAATGCAGCTACAAAATACACCCTGATGGAGAGATTACAGCTCTTTTGGGTTCACCCGAAGCTAACTTCACCTGAAGATTTCCTTAAGTGTTGGAAGATCAGAATCAACAAACACAGTGCATTTTCCCTGCATGGAATCTGATTATCTTAAAACTCTGAAGATGTAACCCTCTTGGTTTGTTTTCCTTTGTGTGTCACGGGCCCTGTGCTTTAAAAGATGCAAAAGGAACTAATAAGATCTAATTGCCTTCCCCCTCCTTCTTTAGAATGGCTGAGAAAGCTGTGAATCACATGGAAGATGAACCACTACAAAACGGATGTGAGCATCAACCCCAGAAAAACCTGAAATAGGAGAATCAGCATAAGTCAGGCCACCCAGCAGTGGATACAGGATGAAAAAGAGGAAGAACAAGGAAAAGGGGATGAGTTATGAGAAGACCTGGCAGTGTGGGAAGGTGAACACGAGGCATTAGCACATGGGACTGGATGGCACCTCTTGGCCTAGTGTTCTAGTCTTCTAGCTCACATGAAGCTACAGGGGACTTAATTCAGTTACCCAAGCACAGGCCTCCTGTGCCATCTGACCTGCCTGCTCCCCAAGCTGCAGGGCTCTGAAAGGACCTGTGGGCCACTTGCTAGCACCCTAGGATGTCTCACAGGTTTTGGGACATCTGAATGGTGGGAAACATCTACACTTAGGCAAAGGAATCCCAAGCCATCATTCTTTTTTTTTTTTTTTTTCCCCTAAGAAAAATGGAAATAAAATTTCAGAACTTCCTGACTTTTCTCTTTGGATTGGTAACATCAAAGGACATGTCAGTTCAGCTACTGCCAAGTCTGAGATTCTTATACTCAGAGTTGTCTCTGGGGAAGCCCCGCGGGTACTAACGCTCGAAGAGCCCTGTTGTGCAAAGCCAAGGCTTCACTCAGGAAGGTGGCTCCATCATCTTCTATTCTGTTGGCCCGAAGATCTAGGATTTCCAGGGTTTGGTTCTGTTTTAGTAGTTCTCGCAAACATTTTGCGCCATCACAGGTTATTCTATTACTGAAAGAGATGCACATGATTTTTTTTTTTAATTGGAATTAAGAAAATGAGTGTCTAACATTAGCCAGGGCTATGTGATATAACTCTTACCAGCTAAGATCAAGGTATCTCAGGGTGGAATTTCTATACAAGGCCTCACACAGTCGCTCTACACCAAAGTTTTTCATGTCGTGCTTGCACAGATGTAGTTCCACAAGAGAAGAGTTAATTTTCAACATCAGAGCTATATGAACTGTGGTCTCTTCCTAAAAACATACACTCTGTTTTATTAAGCTGTACTTTAGGATGAGATATGGTTTGGCTTCAGTACAAGGAAGATGCACAACTAACAGCAAGATGTGGTCACTTTTAGTGTCCTATTTTGTATATTTCATTAAAAATAGACAAGAAACAATACATTATTATAATGCTGAAAATAAAAAATAATAAAAATACCAGACAGATCTTTGCAGATTTACATTACTATATACATCCCTGTAAATATCAGGAGCATCAATGTTTGAATCCTTATAGATTCAGCTAAAAAAAATCTGAATATTGAGTTAGTCTTCACTAACACTAAAAGTATTTTACCATGATGCTAGTCCATTATTTCATTAAAAAAAACAAACAAAAAAACAAAAACAACAGGATTGCTATGGGAAAAAAATATGTCCTACCACTGTAACACCAAGTAAGTTCATTTTGAAGTTGTCACATTCAGTGAAGAAAATAAGTGAGTAAATACTGTGAGTCAAAAATAAGGCAACAAGACAGGGGCCTCAGAAAGTGCTGCAGGATGGAAACAATGGCAAATAAAGTCTCCCACAGCTACAGACCAGGCCCTTAGTGGCTTATATTTTCAATAGCAGTAGTTTAAATTGACTTCTAAAACTGGGTTTAGCCAGATCAAGCCCTTAGTAGAAACGAAACAACTAAACCCCGTTTTAGCTATTAACTTCACCTTTGGGGATTTAGGAAGACCATGATAGTTTAAGTTTCATAACAGTTTAATGTTGTTATCCTGTGGTCAGGAAAATACTGTACCTATCATGGAGAACTGCTGCCAGTCTGCTGGAACCACCCCTGCAGGCAGCTCTGCAGCCAGGCCTCCAGCAGGACCAGAAGCTGCTCTGTACCCCGCAGCCTGCAGGGCTGCCCGCAGCAAACACTTCCTTGCAGATTCCCAGTCAGTGCTCCATTGTTTGGGAGGGCTGGTGTCTTTGTTTTGGATAGCATCATAGGTTCTACATTGATGAGGTCCATTCACTTGTTAAATTCATGCTTCAAGTTCACATAGTGAAAGAACAAAACCCCGGAGCCCAGTGAATATGGCAGATTGTTAAAGTCTGCCTTTTTTCTCTAGGCTGGGGCTCTGGCACTTGCCCATCTATCCCCATGCTCAGATAAACAGCAATCTTTTTTTCTTCCTTTCCTGATAAACTGCATTTCTCCCTCAGTTTGCAGAACAATGCACTCCATGCTGTAACAGCAGGAATACTTGGTTTTTCAAGATCAAGCCTTCATCACTAGCCCAGTATTTAACAAGTAAACACATACCAAGAAATAATTTATTTTTTTTTAAATTAACCTTCTACAGGAGCAGCCCATGACTGCACAAAACTTGGCACAGAAAGAGGAAAATAATATTTCTGCAATGATTTAATTCACTTTGTAAGGAAACCCAGAGAGCCATGTAGCTCAGTGTCTATAAATACATCAGTACTGACTTCACTTGTGCTTCTTTCTCTGACTGAGGTGACACTGCTCTGCTTACTTACCTCTTGGCTGTACAGCAAAGGGCGACTCAGGTTTATTGCTTTGAGTGATTTGTTCTGTTTCAGGGCAATTGCTATTGCTATTAGACACCGTGTACCCTGGAAATTAAAAAAAAAAACACCTCCTTAAAGAAACCTGTCCAGCACATAGATCAAGTTACCAAGCTAGTACAACTTCTTAGAATTGTCACAAGATAAAAAACATCCAGCTGGGCTCAGATTGGAAATACTTTTATTTCTGCCTCGAGGTGCTCTGGAGAGACACCAGTGCAGTAGGCAAGTGCTTACAGACACAATATATTCTCTGAGAATACCTGCCAAATCCTTATGGAATAACAGAGTGGAATTAGACTACAAAGTATGAATGACCAGGAAATTTGGCAACTCAGAAAAGAAAAAGAACAGTGCATCTCAAACATACTGTCCATTTAATTGATCCTGTATTTTGGTGTCCCTGATTTACAAATTGAAATCAGCTTGTGTGTTCCCCAAGGTCTTTGGTAAAAGCTTTAAGTAACATTTACCCACCAGATAAATTCATACTAAATGTGAATTAATGTGGTGCAGAGTACTGAGAGTCTAGACTACAGGCCAGTTCAGATTTCTGTATTCTCATTTGCTTATTAATTGATATTTATGTTGTTTTCCAGTTAGGCTGAACTACACCCAAAGCTATTTCATTTTAAATCAGTTTGCTATCAACTCCCTACCAAGCATAAATATATTAAGCTTTCAAATAAATCCCACACTGGCTAGACTTTCCTTGTTTGTTTTCATAACACCCTTTTACAGTTTCTGAGAAGTATTTCCTTTTCTAGTTTAGGAGCAAGTTCTGTAATTCCAGGAAACAATATACAATTTTCATTTGATCTGAGCTCCTTCCCTGCCTCCTTCTGCCCAACACACAGTTCATTATATCCTGAAAGGATGAACGTTCTTTACAAGAAGGCTGAGAGTGGCCCCTCTTCATTTCACTTCTAGCTCAGTTAGAGCTCTCTCCTGGAGAGCAAGATACAGGACCAAATTCTCCCAAAGAGGAATAACCACCACATCCACATTCCAGCCCCTCTGGCATGATCTCTCAAGGACACCCCATCAGCCAGGTGCTGGGACCTTGCACCAGGAGGGTCACAGCTCCCACTGTTATCTCCTGCTGTACCCCACAGGCTTTTAAAAGCCCTCCACAAGCTTCACTGGCTAGAGTGGGAAGCATCCTGCTTAGTGCACAGACCCATTTCTACCCTCTTGACTTGCCCTGTGCACTGTGCAAGAAGTCTCTGCACCCAGCTCTGGGAGCTGGCAAGTTATCTAAGCCCCATTTGGGTGCCTTTCTACCCAATTCAGCACTCCTGTGCTTGTCTTTGGGGATGGAGCTCTGGCAGGAGCAACAGAGCTACAGGATTGGATGACTTTCAGACATTACAGAACTGCACTTGTTAGAAGGAAAAGAACCTCCAGGGAATAACTAGTCCTTCCTCCAACATGAATTACACAGAGCCTAGAGAACATGACAAAAATGAATGTCAGAGGCAAACCTTGGAAAATGTGCAAGCCAACCACCTGAATTCCCAGGGACATAGTGGCTCTGACACGTCATCAGTTACAGCATCACAGGTGTTTTATGCAACGTGCCTTCCCAAGTGCACATTACATGTATCTTGTGTTACCTCCAGCTATGACAAAAAAAGTAAAATCAGTGACAACAGATGGCTTTTCCCCCTAATTAAGCACTGCAGGACCTTTGTAATACCCTTGAAACACTTTTGTTGTTGCTGATAATTTTACTGTGTTACTCACCATATCACAGTCTCCAAGATCCAGCTTCTCTAAGGTTGAATTAATTTCTAGCATTGAAGCAAAGAACATCCCACCTTTGTTTCCTATTTTGTTTCCAGTCATTCTCAAGTACACAAGAGTTTCATTCTTCTAGACAAAATAATTAGGAAAAAAAAAAAAAAATCCTTTTAAATGGCCTGAAAAACAACACCCTCCTCTTTCCTGTGAATCCTGCTGGTTGCCACACCAAGACAAAACACCCCTCCAGAAAAATTCTGTCTAAGTGATAACACTAAGCAGTTAGCTCAAGCTCCCCTCTGTGGAATCAAATGCATGAGAGTCTGAAAGCAAACCTTGATTGTTTGAAAACTTTTGTTTCTCCCTAGTTCATAAATTCCACACTCATTAAAATATCCCAGGCATATATTTCTACCTAAATTGGCAGCTGAAATGCAAATCATATAAAAAAAATTATTCAAATCTAGTAGGTGTATTTTGAACAAGTATAGAATTTGTTTTATTTTTCATAGTCTTTTAATTCACATGACCAGGCAAAGCACAGCAAAGCTGGTTGCCTTTGGTAGGACTACCTGGTGCAGAATCAAACCTCTGTGTCAGTCTGAGCTGGACTGGAGACTTCTCTGGCAAGATAAAGCTCTGATCAGAGGTCTGACAGAGTCAACATCTATTCCCCTCACCCTCCACAGAATTTCAATAGATAGGAAGCATCTATTCATTGTTAAAACCCTAAATGCAATGCAGAGTAGTCTTGGTTTTTAACTCCTTGGTATCAGGTACCACTATAATCACTCATTACCAGAGATGACGAGTAATTAAGTGACTACAAAGCAACCAGTTGTAAGAGCAGCAGAACTAATGAAGCCTAGTTTCATACAGCTTTTGTGTCTTCCACACATCCTGGTAGCCCTTCCCCTGCTGCAGTACCTCACTACAGCCTCTCCTTCCCCTTCCATCCTCAATAACACCCCCACCCTTTACCCCCAGGTCCCCCCCTGCCTGGCCTGGCAGCAGGAACACACACAGCCAAGAGCCTACCAGGCTGGTTGGGTCCTGCCACCCACCTGCTCAGCACATCCTGCTGGGGCAGCTGCACAAACAGCTTTGGGGGTCACTTGCAACCTACTGTGCAACCTGAGCATTTCAGACGCTTGTCAAACTGAGTTGAAATCAGTTCAGAGTTCAAAGACCACGACTGAGGAAGAGCAAGTTCACCTGAGCAATTTCACAAACACAACAAATCTTACACACAAGCCTCATTTCCTTGGGAAATCACATTGCAAATAACAAAGTTGGGTTTATGTTGCTGCTGTAAGGCAAGGTTTTGAAAACATGTCTCGGGCATCATGAATTAAGAGAAACATTGACATCAAGTTACAGGCTAATTTAATACATTTTAAAAAAGGAAAAATTGATGCCATTACATACCCTATAGCACAGCAATTTCACACAGAAAAATCCAGCTGTGGTAGTTGTGATAATGAAGTGTTAATGGCAGCACAGTACAACTTTCTCTTATGTGAAATCTGATTTCTGAAGGCTGCCTTGGGAAAACAAGCAATCCCTGTGATACAGCAAACCTCTGACTGGACTGGAGACAGAGGGCCCTTTCAGCCAGCACTGATGTTGGCAGGACAGCAAGTGCTGTTCATCAACAGCAAAAATATCAACCCAGATGCCATTGTCTAAACTTCCCAGACAAATACTCACATGAAGTGCTGTGGCTATCAGCTCTGCTCCACTTGTGCCAATATCATTTAACATCAGGTTAAGGTGACGCAGAGTGGAGTTTTCCTTAGGAACAAAGAAAACAGAAACCAGTCAGACTTTTTTTCAGAGCACGCCTGCCTTTTTGAAAATGGAGATGCATCATACCAATCCTTAAAACTTCTGCCCTTCACTGCATTTCTGGCACCCCTGATTTGGAGAAGTAGTTAAAGGATGCCAAAGCACATCAGATGATGACAGAAAGGCTGAAAAACACATCGTGTGTAGGTCCTCATGGGGTTTACAGAAACCACCAAGGAACCAAAGTGTTCAGCATGACCAAATGAGGCAGGTGGTCAGGCTCAGGTTGAAACCTTCAGGCACTGTATGAACTCACTGGCACTCCCTGAACTCCAGGAATACAGGCACTGAGTAGCAGCTCACCATTTTCTGTCTGTATTCTGGTGCTTACACTGACAAAAAGGCAGCATTAAAGTTTCCTATGTTTAGACCTATAAAAAAAGCTAACAGAGATGATAAAGTATGTAAAACAAAGACTCTGGCATGCTTGACGCTACCACCACATCCTTTGTTGAATTGAGCTGCAAGCCTAAAAGCTCCCCAGTTTACCCCACTGTTCTTTCTTCATGACACCCTAGCCAAATGTTAAATGCTTTTCTACCAGAAATTAAAGATCTCCCCAGATAATACAATCTGAGCTTCTAGTGGGACAGATTTGGATGTGAGAGTCAAAATTAAGGGCATTTTGCCAAATCAATGCGTTCTTGTCTCCAGTTTTCCAGAGATAAATATTATTATATCCAAATAAATAATAAATTGCTGAATGATAAACATTATTTTGGCACCTGGAGGATTGTTGCTATGTGCCTTGCTCCAGCATCAGTCAATACATTAAACCTAAGATCCAAACCTGAAAAAGAAGAGGAATGAAGAATGTGACAGATGCATATCTACTATTAACTGATCTCTAAACAAAAAGAAATAAAGATCAATTAAGGATAAAATCATAACTGCTTATGTTTTCTTATATTAGCACAGCAATGTAAAACATACATGAAAAAAGCTTACCTGTGACAAATGCAGTATGGCATAAGACAGAGGCAAGAACTTGAAGATCATCATCAGTAACTCTCTGCACAGGTACCAGTTTATTATTTCCATCTATTTTTAATGTGATCTCTTCTGTCTGGCTGCTGTAACATAAAACTGTGAGCACATGGGGAGAAGTAAAATGACACAGAAAAACGAATTCTCTCTCCAGAGAAGAGGTGTATCCACATCCACCCTCCCTGATGTGTTTGCATGCTGTTAGCTGCTGCTGCTACCTGTGGGAACACCATGACAGACAACGTGATTCAAGCTGCACCTCAGCACTGTCCTTTTTGATAGTCTGTAGTCACTGCACAGCTGCAAGACCATGCTTAGCACAGATGAACAAAAAGCAGGAAGAAGCAAGATGAGGGGAAGGCAGATGGAAATAAAGACTATTCTGGAGGTTACCTCAATCTTTCATTTGTTCCTTTTCTTTATTTACCGTGTCCTGCACTCAGAATCAAAATCTAACACAAACCAATTCACTACACTGTATTTTCTCCAGTTTTCTCTCCAAAGGACAATTAACTTTGACCCCAGGAGCATCCCTGAGAGGAAGCCCTGCCTAACCACATAATGAAAGAGAATTTGGGTAGTTAATACCTTGGCAAGATTCAGAGACAGTTCAGGGAAGCATTACCAGCTGGAAGCTAACTGGATGCAACTGAGGCTTTTTAAACAGGAGCAAGACAAAAGGGAGGGAGTTAGGATGACTGAACACTGGGTTTGGCTTATTTAAAGGACACAAAGGCACAATCCTGTACATTTTTCACTTTTTTAAAAATTTCACTGCTTGTAAAGCTGCCCAGAAGGGATATATAGCTACAAACTTCTGCCAAGATGATGTCAAGATGAGTCAAACCAGAACTTCAGCAGTAAATGCTAAACATGATTTATGTTTAAGCCTAAAACTGCATTAACTTTCTCATTGTTCAATTCCATGTCCTGCTCTCTTGTTTAAGGTTTTCAGAAGCATCTGAAACACACAGTTTGTTATTTCCTTACATTTTATCATTTTTATCAGCATCTTGAAGCACATGAGCAATGAAAGGGTTTTCAGGTTGGCCTAAGTCCTGGCAGGCCTTCACATAGTGCTGGTGAAGGTCTGGACGAACTGACATGACCTGCTGGAAAACAAAACAAAGTGTTAGTGCATGTTATGGCAGCCTAGCAACATCACCATGGACCTAAGCACTGCTGTGCTGGGCTCTGCATAACAATATAAATGGGCTCGGCCTGAAAAGGGTTACAACTCTTGGTATGCAACAGGAGAGTAGCAGAGACAGACAGGAAATCTCGAAGGAAAAAACGTGGACATGTGGATGAGTTTCTGACCGGCCATTGTGTAGGATCTCAATTAACATTCACACAGGCAGGTCCTTTTTCCCCCCGGCAAGCAGCAGCCCCCCCAGGCCTACCTGAGCCATCAATGCCTGCACCCTCTCCCTGCCTCAACCCTCGGTGACCAGCGACCCAGCCAGGCTGCTCCAAGGTGAGTTATGTTTGGTAACAGAGCGGTTTCCATGGAAGGCATCCCCAAGCTCTCCACCAAGGGGAAGCGAACAAGGGGCCAGGCCCAGCCCAGGGCTGTGGCAGGAGGTCCCACCACAGTGGGGTGCTGGGTCTCCCCATGGTGAAGCCCAGCCTGTGGGGAGGGCAGTGTCTGTAGCTCACCCTGGATTGTTTACTTAGTGGTCTGCCCAGTGTCTCAGAGAAGCCTTTGCAAAAACTTGTGTGGTTACACAGATCAGCAGTTACTTCAGCCCCTGGCAGTCCCGTGCACCAAATAAATCCTCCTACCGACTTTGCTGCTGCCCTCGCACTCAGAGGGTGGGCTGGGGTCTCCCAGCCCAGTGTGTAGGGCTTGTGCCAGAGTGCTGAACTGAGAGCCAGGAGATAATACCTTCATGCAACACCTACATTAGACTGGGAAGCCCAGAAGTGTGATCTCCTCTTGGTGGTTGCTCAGTTCTTCTTCCTTGTCCCGATGGCACCTGGAAACTGCCCATCTCTTGCAAAGTGATGTCTTTCCAGGGCTGTTATGGCACCAGAGAAAAGGGCACTGGGTAGAAGATGACTGACAGCTGCCTCTCGACCTCTTCTTTCTCTCCTACCTCTCCATAAATACCAGCTGAAATTATTCTTCCATCCAGACATCAGCAGTTTCTTAGGTAGTAACCCCTTCCCACATCTGTTGCAATCAGCACCAGTACAGCCTTGAGGGTTATAAAATGTCCGTTTCATTGGCATCTCTCTGGCTCAGAGCCACTAAGAGTTACAGAAGAAGGTGCCACCTTTTTAAAATAGGAGTCTTCCAGTTTTACAATCAGCACAGATGAAGACACATTTCAGTGTTTGTAAATACAGGCTTCCAAGACTCAAGGAAGCTGCTTTGTTTAGTTCCCCTGACTTCTTCACAAAAATCACCTTCCAAATTTGGCTGTTGGGACACTTCAGGATGCACTGGGATTCAAAGATACGGTCCTGCTGTAAGTACTGCAGGATTTTATCTCAATGAACACAAACAGCTTTTTACAGGAATACAACTGAGACTAGAACCTGTCCCCAAATGCTAATTCATTCAGTATTTATTTAGTATAGGAAGGTCTTTGAGTACTGTTGATTTTAATTTTTTTCCTCTTCTGCAATTAAAAGTCAGGAGCAGAGATGGCTGAGTCTCAGCAGAGCCAGGGGGACAGCACAGGAGGCACTCACTTCCCCGGAGTTGTCTTGGAGGATGACCATGGTGAGGCTGCCCAAGAAATACAAAAGAATGAAGTGCCAGAGGATGAAGCTCCTACTCTCACACATGTCACAGACAAGGTGCATTTCATTGATTTAGCCAACAAGCAACTGCAAACCATCTCACCAGAGGTCACGAGGCTAGAATATCTGGAAGAGCTGCACATGGAAAATAACCTGATTGTAAGCATCCCCAGACACATCATTAAGCTGAGGCACATAAAGGTCCTCTACTTGAATCAGAATTGCATACAGGACATACAGGCACTGGGAGAGCTGCAAAGTCTTCTGAGCTTAGATCTAAGTAACAATCCCCTCTCACATACTTCACTGCCAGTTATTAGCAACTTGCAGTCCCTTCGTAAGCTCAGGCTCCATAAAACAAACATACATGAACTCCCAGTGCAGATCTGTAAAAACCTGCATCATCTTGAACTGCTTGGCCTTTCTGACAATAATCTCAGGTGTCTGCCTAAAGAAATAGTGAACCTGAAAAATCTCAAGGAACTTTACCTCCAGAAAAATAGATTTGAAAGTTTTCCCGAGGAGCTCTGCTATCTTACTAAGTTAGAAATAATAGATCTGGAGCAAAACCTGATCAGTTTCATCCCAGAAGAGATAGGCCTTTTGACAAACTTAGTTAAGCTGTTTTTAGCTTTTAATAAGCTATCCTCCATTCCTGATACACTGCAACACTGCCAGAAGCTGGCTGTGCTGGATCTGTCTCATAATCTCCTGGACAAGCTTCCCCCAGGTTTGGAGAATCTCACTGAAATGAGAGAAGTCAGCCTGTCTGGAAACCCCTTGAAGAAGTTCCCACGCCAGATCTGCTGCTGGAAGTCCCTGACCCACGTTAACCTGAAGAACACCAGGCTGCACAAAGTGCCCAAGGCCTTCACCAAGTTAGCTGGTGTCAGGATACTAGATCTGAGTGAAAACAATTTTGATGAGATTCCTCAAGGAATATGCAGCATGAAGAATCTGGAAGTGCTGGCCCTGGATGGCAACAAGATACAGGAGGTATTTGTTCCTTTGTTTTATTTTATTGTTACCTCCCTTTTGCAAAATCTAAGTTCCTCATGACTACAGCGAGAAGGCATGTTCCACTTGTTGTGCACTACTCATTATCACTGATATCTGAGCATTCAGGCAGGGAGAAAAGCAAGAACAAGGAAACACTGACCTTTGTGTTGGAGTCGCAAAGATGAGCACTGACTGGAAGGACTGCTTCAGTCTTTTTGCATTTTTTTTTCTGTGTGCACTGGAAAACAGAAGCTGCATTTGCATAGAATCAGCATCACAAACTGAAACAGAGCAGAAAGCAATTTAAAAATGGGTTAGATATTGTTAATGCCTTTAACACCATTAACATTTGCTGTTCATTTGATAATGAACAATTAGGTACTCTAAAGCTGTGCCATGATAAGTGTAACAGTATTCATGGATATACTTATTTTAGTGCTCAGAATACACCTCACTTTTCATATAATGCAACATTCTTTTCCAAAGAGATTTTAACTCATCCAATTTTCTTCTTGAATGTTACATTTACAGAGGTAGTAATTTATGCAAAAGAATCACTTTCAGATTTCATTCATTTAAATTACTTTCCCTGCACTGTGCATACCAAGGAAATGAAGAAGCAGACTAATGTTTATGCTGAAAAAAAAAAAAAAAAAAAGAAAGAAAAAATTAACACAAGTAAAAAATCTTTCCAACAGAGGAAACCACATGGATTTTTTTTGCCAAAAATTTCCCTCCTGCTGAGAGGTATATTGTTATATTAATTAACACAATATTCTGTGTTCATTCCTCAATAGTAATGCATCTCCACAGTATTTCCTTGGAGATTTTCCCCTACAATCAAAACCCCAACATTACTGCTTAGTTGATGTAACGTATCTTTTTAATGACCATGTCTAGATACCCGGGGAAGTGGAAGAACTGACAAATTTGAAGTGCCTTAGCCTGTCTGAAAACCAATTCAGTGCCTTTCCAAAGGAAATCTTTCTTCTGAAGTCATTAGAGAAATTATACCTGGGACAAGAGAAAGGAATTAAATTCACAAGTCTGCCAGAGGACATCAAGAATTTGCAGGTAGGAGCAATAAAAAGGGGAAGATCTTGGCCTGCTGCAGCATGGCACTTCTGTGGACCTCAGCTGCTCCCAAATGCAGGACTGAAAGTTCTCCTCATCTCTTCAGGTACATGGTGCAGCATCACACCAGGGCTGTCAGTACAGGAATGGTATCAAAACTCAGTATTTGAAACTCATGTGTTCAGTAGTCATCCCAGTGGTATCTCAGTTTATAAACCTTACCTCTACCCTTACTGATATTCTCTGTCCATTGAATATGTATCAAGCTAAGGAAAAATATTTTAATTATTATATTACATTTTTAATTCTATTATTCAGAATCTGAAAGAACTGTATGTGGACAATAATTGTCTGGAGTACCTGCCTGAAGCCATCGGCTTATTGACCGACTTGAAAATACTTGACTGTCAAAACAATCTGCTTAAAAAGCTCCCACACTCTATATGCCGAATGCAAGGTAAAAACAGTCTTAGTGATTGTGGCCTTAAGGACAAAAGTACCTGTAAGCATTCTGAAAAAAAAGGAGGGAGAGAAGGGAAGAAAGGAATGCAGTGCATCATTTGGAGCCCACCTTTAATTGTAGGGGAGCCAAGCAGGATGAAAATTAGGAACAGGGAGGGTGATGGAAGTGCTGTACCCAAGCCATGCGGGCAGGAGGTCCTCACCCATGACCTACCTCAACCTCAGGGTCCAGGGAAAAACATGCTTCCCAAAGCTCAGCTCAGGACAGACCCCCTGATGCAAGACAATCAGCACCAGTGACTCCAAGGGCATGGTGAGGAAATGGCTCTCTTGGTATGCTCCCCAGTCTTTCCATCTTCTCTAGCTCTCCATTGCAGCTTTGCATTGTTGTGCCCATTAGCAGGACTTTTGAAATGTGAATTTGGCCACCTGGCTACCAGGTGAATAGTCTTCAATAGAATAGACTATTCACCAGGTGAATAGTGTTCACCTGGTGAAGTAAATTATTTGCTAGGAGAGCCTGAGTCCCATCCTTTTCTATCTGGGAGCAGATAATTTGAATTTTAAATGCTTTGGTGACATGTTCAAGACACACATTCATTACATGTGCAGACTGAGCTGTTTGTGCCTCATCCATGTGCTATCTATGGGAAGCCTGCAGGCATGCTCCACATCCTTTGTTCCTTGTGCTGCAGCTGTTTGCTTTTGTGTGTTTAGGTTTGCAAAAACTGCTCCTTCAGAACAATCAGCTGTCCCACCTTCCCAAGCATTTGGACCGACTTCAGGAGCTGGAGCTGCTCCAGCTTGAAGGGAACCCTATGATAGAACCTCCAACTGAAGTGTGCTCTCAGGGGCCATCTGTCATCTGGGAATACTTACAGGAAAAAAGGTTTCAATCTGCCAGGAAATTACAGGTAGGAGTGTTAAGAAAGCCACCACAAATGTACAGACAAGGCTGTGGTCTTAGTAATAGACACTTTGCAGAACAACCTACAGGGCACTTGATACAATATCAAAAATGCCTGAAACCACTGTTTGCATCAGCTGTGGCAGAGCAGTACTTCTATCACTGATCATGTTAAGGTAGAATATGGGCAACTGTCAGGAAATACAGCACTGGGCATTACTCAGAAACATTCCAGAAGGTTGTCACTGTCTTGCCAGGTTACAGTCAGCAGGCACAGAATAGCCCTTACAACTTGCAATGGTGCTTTTGTCTAGTTCCCTGTCCAGTGGAAGGGGAATGGCTGGTGTCTCTAAAACCAAGGGAGACTCTAAGTCAAGGCATTACTTATAGATTAAACTAACTACAAGTGGCATTCTCCACCCTTTCTGAGTGTATTTTGACTGCAGAGAATTGAAAATCCATTGTGCAAAACCACTGAACAAAAAAAACCCCACATTTTTGTGTGGTTCTGTTTGGTTTTTTATTTTCCCAAAAGAACATCAGTCTGTGTTGCCAGTGGGCAATGGAATTAATTTGCTCAGAAAGAAAACAACAGAGTGAGAAGAAAGAAGAGGCAAATTCTTAGTCTTTGATTCCTCTGAACCTAAATTATTCCTCTCTTTCTGTAATGTCAGTAATTGATACATGAACTGATGTGCTTCTTCCAAACTGCTCTTCTGAACTAAAAAGTGACACTTTCAAAGTGTGTAGACATAGTCATGCACTACTCTTGTCAAAGGGTCTGGAGGAGTACAGTGTGAGGGGCCTCCCTGCTAAGAAATTAATCTTTAAAAAAATAACACCAAGTAAAAGTCAGGTGACTGGCAGCCTATCTTAGCTGCAACTGATGTGGTCTAATACAGAATAAAGGGGGGTTTGGAAACCATTATGTGCCTGGCTTTTTGCATCAGCAATACCCACTAGTAATACTGTTCCTACATGACTCTTTGCTTTTACCTTTTCCTTCCAGGTAACTGGATTGTTCTTTTATCTTTTTTCAGATCCGAATTTTGTGGCGTGGGTTGATTAAAAAGAACACAGAGCTTAAGAATCAGAAGAAAAATAATGAAAAGAAAGGAAAAGAAAAGGGAAAAAAGCCTGGAAAAGGAGCCAAAAAGTGATATTGGGACTGTAAATTGCACAGAGTTCTTTTCATTCACAAGAAAGACAAATGTGAGCAGAGCTAAGTGAGTAGGAGACAAGCAGTGTTAAAAGCATTTCAACTCAGAAACTGTTACAATAAAAACGTAGGACTTTTTCAAGTTTGTTTTTCTGTTTCTGTCAACATTGACTCCAGCTGAATCCCACAGATTCTCATTCTGAATGTCTGCTATCTCCAAGCATAAAGGCAGCTGAATAACTGGAAATTAGATTAATATGTAGGAATCTGGTGCAATGGAGTGTTTTTTGTTCTGAATCCTGAAGTATTTTGCATGCAATTCTTAGAAATCTGTTTTCCAGTCAATGAAGTACAGCCAAATCTAGAATAAAACAATATTTGTGGCCTCACCTACTAGTAGTTATTTAATGAGTTTTCTATTCAGAAATTATCAATACCTTGTTTGAGAATATGGAGGAGGATTTCAGGCAGTCAGTACACACTTCTACCAGAACCTGCATAACCATCCTGTCTTCCAGAGATGCAAAACAGCTGTTTTGAAAATGTCTCTACACTTTTGTCAAACTGTTGACAGATGTTTTGGCAATTTGTATTTATATTATTCTGAATGATTGCAAGCTGTCAAATCCTTAGTGTTATAGTTCATCTCTGAGATAGCCTGGTGAGAGTTTTCCACTTTACAAGTGGAACTGACAGGGAAACCAGGAAGTCCATAGAGACCCTCAGATGAAATCATGGATGAAACGATCAAGTGGTATCAGCACAGCATGGTCAGCTGCTGGTTAGTTCAAGTGTCACCCGGTCTGAAAGATCATATTGATCTGCATCTGCACGGGAGAACTTGCTGTTGAGAAAGTGCCACTGAATGATTCTGTTGTGCCTTTCCTCCAGAGATTGCTGCAGTGTGCTCAGGGCTAATTGAGCAGTACTTTATCCCTCAAGCTGCCTCAGGATTTCTCTAAGACTCCTCACTCAGTGGGTAGATCTTTACTTCCTAAAATACCTTACCAATGAATAATCCCACTGCAGTCTCTGAGCTCACGTGTGGGTTAACATGCTCCATGACTATGCCAGAATTTGACTCTGTGTAAGCAAATAAAATAAAATGCCAAATAAGAAATTATAAAATAATAATAAAAAAGGGGGAGCCACTTACATGTCCCAAGTTGGTGCTATTTCTAACAAGTCTTGGGCACAGAGCTGGGTGCTAAAATCTTTGCTAAGGACATATCTCTGATTTAACCTGTCACAGCATTTCCTTTGGCCCTAAGACCTGCAAAGACACCAACTGTTTCTTACCTTGGTTTTATGCTGATTCTGTGCACAGGACTTGCCTACACTATGAGATGGCATCAAGGGCCAGAGCAGAGGCAGAACAGCTCCTTCAGTATTCTCCTTACTGGACTAGTATATAATGCTGAATTGTCGGGCTGCTTTCCAGATCTCAGAGTTATGTAGATTTAAAGCATTCACGAGGCACAAGTTTTGGCGAAGATGACACTAAGATTTGAAACAGAGGTTTCAAGTTTTTTCTCATTAGAGGCATTTTCCTTATATACATAAGGCCACATTCCCACTGCCTGGCCAGCAGCACTAGCACATGTCCCAGCCATTTCCCTCCTTTGGCAAACCTGCAGTGTCCATCTGAAATCATCCTTGCTCTTTTGATGATAGTCAATGCTGTATTCACAACATGAAGATTAAGTGTGTATAGTAGTGTAAGCATGGCCCAGAGATTCTGAAAGAGTAAGTAGGTCATTAAATGAAATGGTCTATGCATGCAGAAGGTTAAGTAACAGTTTTCTGTAATTTTGGAACTATTTAAATAGTTCAGACAGGATTACTAAAAATCAGGCAGTCTTCAATGTCAGAGACACATAATACTTGGTTCATATGCTGCTTCTGAAAGGCCTTCCAGAAACCTTCAACCCCCATCAACAGTCAAAGCGAATGTTTCTTTTGTTGTCTTGATTAAAGCATTCCAGCCGTTTCCGCTGGGATTCTGAAAGGACCCATCTCTGCATCCCCAGCTCTGCCAAGGCAGGCAGCTTTGTCAGGGCTGCTAACAAGTCACTGAACCACGTCCCACAGTCACGGCAGGACGATGGGCGAAGACTGACATCCAGCTCGGAGAGCTCTTTGAATCCTGCTAAGCCTTGACAGAAAACGACCCACCCCTCGTCAGAGGCGTTGTTGTTGTAACTCAAATCCAGCTTCTGTAACTGGGCTAGATGGCCATCCTGCCTCAGTAAGGCTGCAAGAAATGACAGACACAAACACAACTAATATATTCTGGCAATTGCTTTGAAAGCTTTTTAAGTAATACCATATTATTTAAAGCCTTTCAGCAGTCAAAGAGCAAGCTTCAACTCCTCAGCAACATAAAATCTCTTGCTGTTTCTCAGAAAGATCATTTTATTACAGCTGAAGGAATGCACAGCATTTAAAACAAAGGCAATTGAAAAGGAACAGAAGTATTGGGTTAAAATTGTATGGCAACCTGAACACCTTTGAGTCAGTTGGAAGGAGGTTATATCAAGTGCCAATTAAAATAGGCAGACAGACTCTACAGGGAGATTTAGCAAGAGGAAAGCAAAACTAGATGAGGCTGCATGATCTCAACAGCCACCTCTCACTGCGGGAGGGTAATGGGCCTTATATGCCCTAAAGGGAGCTGGAATCTTTAATGTATGATTGGCAAAGGAGACACACATCAAGGGTGATGTTTTTAAAGTAAAAAATATTCAGGCTTCATCTCACCAGCCTTCAGATTACAGGGTCTTAATAGCTGTCACACAGCTATTGCCAATCTCAGACACTCAAAACCCATGAGTCAGGCTCAGAGAATCATAGGGGTGATTATAAAATAAACAGGTTTTCTAAAGGCTCCTAGAATTTATTCCTTCATTGGGTTCCCATTTTCCAGTATTTTTTAGCAGCTGCTAAGAGGTGGGCTAAAATATTTCTGGTTTAATTCTCCCATAATAGTTTGATTCCAGACACACACCTCATGGACTGAGAGCTGGTAGTGCCTGTATTACTGGCTGTCAACACGTACTTTTCCCATAAATTACTGAACACAAAACCAGCAACAGAGCAAAATAAAACTCCTCAGAGGCAGCTTTAAATATCTGACATAAAACACAAGACACAAAGCCTACATTTTCTAAGTGCTGCCTTTTTGTATTAATAGATCAAACTGCTAAAAGATTCTTTGCATTTTTATCCTTTTCAGCCTTTACATTGTGCATGTGCAGAAGACAGAGCCTTCAGCAAAATTAAAGCCCTTTCTGGGAAAAATACAGCTGTATTTTCCATCTTTTCATTTGATTTATGCAAAAACATACTCAGCCCATGGAACAAGTCCCTTCTGAATTGTGGTCTAAATGCCCTGGCTCCTTGACTGCTAGTAAATACCATGTTATACATACTTAGAAGTGCCAAATCTTCAGCCACCAAGTTACAGCTGCTCAGTCTTAACACTTGAATCTTCGTTGCAAGCTTTAGTGCTCCCAAAAGCAGCTTTAGGTTCCCACCAACGCACTTATTCCAAGAAAGGTCTAATATCTCCAGTTCAGGAAGGTGAAGGGCAGCCTCAGCTGAAAAGATTAAGACCAGCAACTTCTGCTTACTAAGAGAAAACAACATGGCCTCAATAGACACCTCACTGCCAATTCACCTGTAAATAGGCTCCTAACAGGCTGCCTACTTGTGATTAAAATGAGTTATTTTATCCTAATAAAAGTCAGACAAAAAATATCTCCTGTGCTCTTTAAAGTAAAAAGGTCTTGCCTATAGAATCTTTAATAGCTCTCTGGAGAGGTTTCTTTTCTTTCTGTTTATGTTATTGCCCTGACCTTTTCCCACTGAAGTCAATTTAATATAACAGCTTGTTTTTAAACCATTTTATATCAATTTAAATACAGCACATTTTCTTTTCTTTTTTAGGTGAACTCACCATGCAAAGTGAAATGCTCTGTATCTTTCGACTACATTGATTTCCATGATGTCACTCTTACATAATTGTAATTATATAAATATAGTACTCTTCCTGTAGGGACCTCAGACCAGTTTAGCTTGCTACTGCTTCTGCTAAAGGCAGTCCATTTTTACTACAGGTTGCACTGTCACTAGTAAACAGTACAAAATACAAATGCACAATGCACAGTAACTAACAGATCCCTCTGCACTCAGATTTCATGTGCCATATGGAACGCCTATCAAAGGGACAGTGTGGCTGCTAATCCACTGAGATTTGCAGTAAGTAGACAAAAGAAGCTGCATTTACCTGTCCTGTGTAAGACTGGACTTTTCTTCATGACTGTGCAGTAGCTTTTTCATTACTGCAGTCATTGCATCTGCTCCTCCACTGCCCCGTATCACCACAGCATAATAAAAAACAATGTTTTGCTTTCTCTTCCAAAATAAGGGACTGTACAAAACCTCACAATCAGACAAAGGACTAAAAGGACTTCCTCATTATATCTGACTGGATCTCACAATCAGACAAAGGACTAAAAGGACTTCATCCAGTCAGATATAATGAGGAAGACATACAACCGTCTTCCCTTGCAACCAGGTCCCATGGAGCACTGTTTTCATCACAGGCTCCTTCACTGGGGACCTGTGGTGTAGTGTAACCATGACCTTTGGTGTTGAGGCAAAGAAGAATGAAGTGCTTTGTCCCACAAGGATACTCAGAGAATAGACACACTTTAAAAGAAAACATTCCTACCTAGGGATGAAAGGGACTCTTCACCTAAACCACAATTGCTGATGGCCACAGATTTCAACTTTGGTAAAAACCTGAGCCTGCCCAGAAGAGGATCAGATGAGACTCCTATATTTTTATTCGAGGATAAATTCAGCTCTTGAAGACTGGAGAGTAAAGGTATCACCTGGGCTATGAAAACATGAAATATTTATTAGACAGTCACAGATCCAGAACAAACATGTAGCTGTATATTTGCCTGACATAATTTCTTTTCTTTATAAATCAATCAAAAAATCAAGGCTAAGTTTTGACACTCAAATTTATGGTGAGTAATGTTTCATTCCACAAATAGCCTTGTCATTTTCAGAAGGAATGTTTAAGACATTAGGTATTACAGACTGTGGGGAAGGTTGTCAGAATAGGGTTTCTTGTTGAAATTCCCTGGGTGAAGTAGGGAATTTAACATTAAATGAGATGGGGGTCATTTCCAAATGTCCTCACTGCCAACTTCAACTCTTTTATATTAGTGTGATTATTCTCTATTGGTCAAAAATAAATAATGATTGCTATTACTAACAATTAATACTTCCCAATGCTTCATCAACTTTTTCAAATTATCTCCTTTACCTGGAAAATAAGTAGTGGGCAATACAGGATTTGTTGTTATTGTTGTTATAAAAAGTAAAAAACAATATTGAAAAGCTCTGATAATGCACACAGAAAAATAAACTGTCTCACTAATTGAATAGGAAATGTCTTTTGCTTCTTAACAGTTCAATCTGGACACTGTGGTGTTCAGCTTCTCTACGAAGCACACAGCAGCAGCAAGGCAAGATCTTCTAATATCATTCTCGACTCAAAGTTCACCAAGGGAGTTTTAGGCTGCTATATTTACATGCCCATATGCATGGTGGATCCATGCCAGTTTATTCCAATGAGGGAACTGTCCCTGGATACTTCCAAAATTACTGAGTATCACAAAAAGCAGTGATTGGTGGCAGTACCTACATTCCCATCATGAGTTGGAATCATGGCAGATTCAGGTCCTCAGTTCCACATGGGATCAGACACTATGAGATTTCCTTTGATAGAGCAAAAAACCACTCCACATCAATGAAGAAAGCTAGCCTCCATACTGCCCTTCCAGAACTGCCTAAGGAACTCAGATCTGCTAGACTAGGTCAGGCAGAACACCTTACACCTTTGAAATATTCTCAGAGGTCAAAACCTACATTCTTCATGGATTTCCACAACATGTACTTACACAAATTGGCCACGTCCTCTTCTGTTACACAGCACTGGTGGAGATCAAGGACTTCAAGATTTTTCAAGCTGGCCAAATGAGCTGTTGAGTCTTTAAAGCCACCACCAATGTCTTTGTTACATGATATGTCTAACTTTCTTAGCTGGGCCAGATGCTCTAAAGCAGTGTCTGCAATGGAAAAGGGAGCATGGCTGGTCACTGATTGCTACAATAGCTCAGGTCATGGCTTCAGGGTTCATTTACTTCAGCGTCAAACTTTGCAGAAGGCACCACAGGCAAAGCTTTTAGACTAAGCTTCAGTGTATAATCACAGCAGGCATACAGTAATACCACAGAGCTTCCCCATCCATGCAACTCCATTCTTCTCTAAGAGAGCAGGTGAAGGTGAGGCCAGCTCATCCCCTAGATCCATCCAATCCTCAGCTTTTTGCTGAAATTACTACTGGGTGTACTAATTAGCACCAGTTGTTTTGTCATATGGATAAGACCTCCACTAGGGAGAGACACAGATAATAAGCCCATTTCATATGAGTTCACTGGACACTCATTAAGTGATAACAGTGAATTTGGATTCCCCTCTGAGAGTAGGATTAGCTTGTTAAAAGTTAGCTAGCCTCGTCTATGTTCTGTCTGGGGAGAGAGGAAATGTGTCCAGAGAGCCATTAATCTACCCTAAGAATACTTCAGATAAATGGTGTGGAGGGTGACTCTCCCCACTGACTTTCACATGCTTGAGCTCAGGGAAGATAAATGTTACTCCTGCTGAAAGCCTCTGTAGTCTTTTATCAATCCTCAAACAGCAAATAACGATTGCCCATTAATACTGCCAAACCATCAGCCAAATCCCACCTCATTGCCTTTCTTAAATGGTTTTCAGATGTACAATTTATTCAGAATGAAAGTCTTTCTGAACATAAAGTCTAACCTAAGCCCTGGAGGCTGTCATGCTTTAATCCACACATGTGCAAGTTTAACTCTTTCAAGCCTGGCACATTTTTCAGATCCTGAGCAATAACCTTCATGCTGCAGCCGATGTGTTTGTTGATGGAGAGGTCTAATACTTCCAGGTTTGGGATCACATTTAGAATTTCAGCTGGGAAAAACAAAAAGAAAATACAACCAGAATTGGTAATTGTCTGGAATAAAAACTGATGAACCCTAGAAAAGTATAGCACCATGACAAACAGGAAGAGGTAAGCTGGGTTTGCCTGTATGTGTGGTTTAGACTTAGTAAGTTCCTGTTCTACCTAAAAAAATACAGCAAAACAAAGATTGGAAAGGAATCAATAAAAGCAGTTAAAGATCTGTGTGAAAATAAAGGTTAAAAACACAAAGACAGTAAGAAAAATACAGGGGGATAAAAAGCAGAAATACAAAGAGAAACAAAAATTTCTAATGAGAATATATAGGACTGTATGTTGCATATGGGCCATCTCCTGCCATGGAGATGAGAGCACAGGGGCTTCTCTTTAAGGAGAAATATCTCTTAAAACACAAAGTCAGATCAAAAGACCACACAGGAAGCTATGGTGAGAGGGAAGAGAGGAGAAATGCCCAGTGGTTGCCAACTCAGCCTAAACTCCCATCCCTCAGGCCTTCTTTCCCATCCCATGGCTACCTACAGATTCAGCTGCTTAATTCTAAGCAAGCAGTGTTGGGAATTCTGGCACATGTGACTTGCTCAGGGCCCCAAAGGATCCAGCAACCCTGGACCACTGAGGCAGCCAGACTGTGGTTTAGATCTAGCTGTCCTTCTCAACCCCACTTCACATGATTAGAGAGAACAATTTTCTTCTTTGGCAGAAAGTGCATTAAATCCCCATACCATGTAGTAAATACTGCCATAATGCAGAGACCAACATAAACTTTTCATTAATATTGAGCTCAACACAGCCATAATGTAAGTTAAGCAAGTTACATTTTTGTGAAGCCAACCTCAGCCCAGCTATATGGATACACATACCAAGGGATTCTCCATCCTTTGCTGTCAGGTTACAGTCTGTAATTTTCAGAATTTTTAACTTGCATCCTTCCTGGAGTTTTTTTGTCAGGAGTGATAATTTTCCACCAATGTTACTGTTCCATGATAAATCCAGCTCTTCGAGTTGAGGAACAATTTCAAATGCCTCTCCTGTGACAGAAATCTAAGATGATTCTCTCTAGGTATCAATTTCAGTGCAAGACAAAACTACAGGTTGGGAATATATTAAAGAGGAAGGTTAGCCACTTAATTCTCACATTATTCTATTTTGAACAGCTTGCCAGGAAAATTGGTGTATGCCATGAATTGCTGCTACTAGAGCAATATTTTATAATGTTTTATAAATTCCTTGTCTAAGGAGCAAAATACATCATGAGTCATTTGTGTCACAGCACATACAGACTATTTGGCCATCATTGTAGACCTGTGCCAGGACCCAGAAAGTCTAGTCTGCAGGGAAATCAATACGAGTGACAAGTCTGAATTTACTGTCCTGTAGAAAGCTCTGCTCTGTTTTACTTGGCAGACTTCCAATGTCCTCTGTACTCTGTCCACAGGTTATTTTGGAGGAGATGAAAGAAGTCCTCTCACAGCTATTTCTGACACTTAAAGGTTTCATTTCTGACAAGAGTTTCTGACTCACTTCATCAGGAATCCAGATGAGCTTTGGTTTAATCCAAACTAACTTTCCCATGATTTCAAGGCAAATATTACAGATTTTGATTACATTCAGGAAAAATTAGCTTTTTCCAGGCTTGCCACACCTGCCAATGTGAACTGTTTTAGTGTTTCTTTGTAATATACTAACATTTCACTGAAAAATCCAGCTTCCTAACTTCCTTTGCAGAGGAGGGAGGCAGAAGGCTATTTGCATAAACTCCTTCCCAAGAAAGATCAATTAATCAGACTGTATACAAATGCAATTTCAAAATTTATTATCTAAAGTCTCAGCATCAACCTAATAATTAAGAATTGTATTTTTATAATAAAACCCTTTCATGTTTTCATGATTATCCACCAAATACTCATAATAAAAAATAATTATTTCTGTTGTTGTCAGTCAATATCTAGTTTTGAGAGAAAAGGGCATGTCTTAGTTGTTGGTTTTTTTGCATGTCTTAGTCTTTATTTTTGCATGTCTTTTAAATTATTGCCTCAGTCTTGAATATTGAGCAAGGCACTGCAGCAGAGAGGTGGTTTTGCCTCTGCAGCATAGCCTGTTCCTGTTTGACATGGGGACTAGCATTCCAGACTAATTTTCCACCCAGAAGATAAATAAAGGACTATAACTCCAGGAATGGTTTCCTACCACCTCTCACAGTCACAGCTCTGAGCAATCACATAGGAGAGGTTGTTATTATGGTTATATTTGAGGCATTGATTTCTAAAAAGAATGCACTGAGACCACAAATAGCCACATTTCCACAGATAGATATGAACATAGTCAAACAGGCAGTATTGGCCTAAATACACAAGCTATTTTCAAAATCACAGGCAAAATCAATGGAAACTGACTGTTGTTCCTCATGTCAAGGGCACCACATTTTGACTGGACATTCAACTCCTATGAGCAGTTTTGTGTCTGTCTCAGCAAAGGCCAAGTCTTAAGGGGGAAGGAAACAGTGCAGAAGAACCAGGCAGAATAAATCAATTGGAAATATAATGATACAAGTCAAGAGAAATAAAGAAGTATGTGAAAACGGTTTAAAAAAGCATGACATAAATTTAAAAAAATCTGATAGTAAATGAAACACATATTTTACCCTCATCAGAAACAAACTAATTATTTCACCAGCTTTTGTAAGAGATGTTCTCCTACCCAGCAGATAGCATGAGCTACTTTTGAGCTACCACCATATATGTCACGTAATTTCCATACCTATACCACAGACCCAGCACAGAGTAAACCCCAGGCCCAGAGGTAAGTGACTCAGTGCCAGACCCCACCTTTAAAACCTTTACATCTCATGCTTTGCAGAAAGCAGAGTTGCAGGCACTCCAAGCAAAGACGTATGCAGAGGAATAAGCTTCTCCCAGACTTCAAAAAACAAGTTGGAAAGCTCCAGGGCAGCACTGCTGGTTTTAAGTCTCCTCCAAAAGACCACGAATTTTTTTGTGATGATCACTGCATCTGTCCTGCAGCATGAAGATCTATGTTGAGTCTATTGTGACTGACTCTGTTTCAGTTCTTCTGTCTACCATTTCATACAAAAAAATAGACAAAAAATACTAATCTAAATTGAAACTCTGCTTTCCTGCAAATAGGAGGGAATTCAGTTCCCTTCGGAATGTGAAACCTTCATGCCCAGAGGAAGGAATTAATTCCTGGTTTGAGCCAGGATAAAGCCAATTTTCCTCTTACTGATTATTTTTTTCCTTCAGTAAGCTTTCTTTTAACTAGTAGCAGAGGATGGTTTCGATCCATCGACCTCTGGGTTATGGGCAAACCAGGACAACTCTGCAGAGCTACTCAAATACATAAGATCACTCAAAAGCCCAAGTTCTTTCTACTGTTTCACAGCAGGAGTTTACATCACCCAGTGTGGAAACAGCAGGAGTAGGATGCAGGAAGAGATGTGTTGGATCACATCAGACTCAAGCTGTCTGGAGTAAATGTAAATTAAATCCTGTACCTAAGGAGGTAACATCCTCAGCTGTCAGCCTGCAGCTGCTAAGTCGAAGGACTTTTAACTGGTTCACATGATGAAGATGAACAGTGAGAGCTTTCAAAGTCCCACCAACACAGCTATTCCAGGACAGGCTGATCTCTTCCAGCTCTGGGAGAAATGGCAGTAAAGAAGCTATGGAAAAAAAAAGACAAATATTCTTTTTGCTTGTTGTCTGCACACCCTGGATGTCAGTACATCTTAATACAGAGATGCTTTCTACAACCAATACAGTAAAATAAAGCCATGACAATTTGTAGCTCAGCTTTCTTATCTGTAGTTTGAGTGTAAGGACATTAATCTGCTTCACAGACCTGTATGATTTTTATATTTATGTATATATCACATAATTTATATTATTCATTAATTAACGTTTCTCAGGGACTTGGACCAACAAATGAAATGCTAAATAAAGCCAGGCCTGTATAAAAGAAAGGGAAGGGGAAAGAGGGGGGTGAATTGTTGAATAAGCAAAGAAGAAATACAGACATGTATGAAGTGACTAGTTGAATAAAGTGTGTATTTACCCAGCTCTGTTACATCTGCTGCACTTAATGCACAATTATTTAGATCCAGATTCTTGCTGCTGGGATCCTTTCCCAGTTTCTGCATGAACTGGTTAAATCTCTGCTCACCAGATGGTGACTCCACTTCAGAAATGAGATGTGAAAGTCCATCTGAATAACAAAGAAACAAGGCTCTGGTTACCTCTGCTACTAACCCAACGTGTAAAACCTGTCTGTGCTTGTTGGGTAAAGATTTTAGGAAAATAAATCTGTCTGTAAACGGGGCTCTATATTTTATGAATGTGGACCTGAGTGATAATATCACTATAGATCAGATAACTACAAGGCTCCTCAGTGAGTAAAGAATCTCCTGTTGCACATCCCCACACCACTTTATGCCAGTGGCTGGATGTTTGCATCACCAGCTCAACGACATTCGTGTAAACTTTGAACTGCAGCTCCTCGGGATGCACAAGGTGTATACCCACCTCTGAGTGCCTGCCCTGGAGCCACCGTGCTGCAACAGCGTCTGTGCTTGAGCAATTAGCACCGAGTGGCCCTGCAATTGTGTGCTGAACCTGCTGCTTCTGTCATGACAGCCTGTGATCATCCTGATACACTGTCTGTGTAAGGCAGGTCCTGCTTTCCTTGGCTTTGCAGAGCAGCCCCCACTTTCTTCTTCCATGCAGTTTGTACAGCAAGGAAAATTGCACTGACATTCATTGCTAATGTATTTAACAGATCAGTACTTTCATCTAATGCCTCTAATGCATCTAATGGAAAAAAAAAACTGTAAAAAATGACACAGAACAGCAATCCCACTCCCTATAGCTCTTCTCTCATTATTTCCTCAAACCTACCCCAAACTCTAATGCCAAAGGATGGGGTTCTAAGCATCATTTTCCAGCTCCTTTGTAAAAATAGCCTCCATTGTCTCTGGTGTAGATGTAAAAAAAAGTATTCTTGTGTGCACAAAACAACATACATGATAAATTTCCAGTCTCTTCCCCTGCCTGTTGAGTGACAGGAACATCTTTCTTGCTGTCTTCAGACTGGTGTAGCAGCAGGGTGAGCAGAGACAGACAACAAGCCAAGCTACTGCCCAAAGTTTGGCCTTGAGACCAATTAAGCTCTGTAACTAACGAGCTGGCTCCAGAGCTGACCTCTCACACTGGAGATAAGAGAGTTCACCCAAAAGTTTTATTCCTCCTCAACAACATGGATCTCACTCATTGCTTGGCACCTATCAAATTAGAAGGCATATCTTTGATAATCTTCCAATCAGAAGCATATCCTGGTTTTAAAGGATAAACCATAGGCAGCAAAATATATTATTTTGGCTAGCAAGAAAAGCAAGTGATTTTCTATGAAATTAAAATATATACACATGCACATGTATTTCATTATTTTACCAGCATTACCTTCTACAGAGAGATCTTGCTTTTCAATCTGATCATCAGATCCAGAGTTGTTTAATTCTGTTTCTTCAATTTCCTTTCTGTCCTTGCCTTCAGATTTCCCAATGTCAAAGCTCCTGAAGAATTTTTTGATGTCTGAAGGCTGCTCTTTTCTTTTTCCAAGGGAGGACCTCTTCCCTTGGAACTGTTTTATAACAAAGTCAAATGGGGAACTTTTGGGGATGTCCTCTTCATGCTTATCCTGGGAGTTCTGAATCTCACCTTTCAGGGAAACAGCAGACATAGAACGAGTTAGTATTAGTAATGTTTACTCTTGCTTACCTTCTTTTATAATGGCAGATGCACTGAGAATTTCCAACCATTCCCTCCATGCTAATATCAGAAAAGCACTGTTTAGTAGAATTGAACAATGTCACATGCTCCCAAGCTCAGGGTGGAACATGCAAATGAAAACCCATGAACCTTAGAGCAAATTTGAAGTGATAGTGCAGAAAAACCCCAGATATCATAGGTATGAGCACTGGGAGTATGCCAGTATTCCAGTGCTGGAAGAAAACAAGCCCCCTGATAGCTTGGTTGCAACAGTTCAGTATGATATTCACCTCAGTTTCAGTGAGTAATTCACAGGGAAATTAAAGTAGGACTTTATAATTTATACACATTCTTCCCTTATGTCTGCTTATACTACATAAGCTATAGCATCATCTGATGAGTCTGAAGCTGCTTTGATTTTCTCTAAACATTAGTTTGATGCTCTTTCTTTAGTGTCAATTCTAGCATTTGCCCACACACACATGCTTGAAGGGAGCAGCCACAAAAGCTAAGCAGGCATTCATTGACTTCTGCTTTGTGAGGATGATGTGGAAAAGATCTGTATCAAGTCCTCCTGTGTCCTGTTGATTGCAGGGGGAATTACCTGTCTTCAGAACCATTCTTGTAATACACCAGAGCTCATTAATGGACATCTGTGCTCACACAGATTCTCCCTTCTGCATTACAGACCTGCACAGAGAACCCACCCCACAATTTTCTGTCATCCATAGAGTATGTGATAATAACCATCAGTTATACAGAATATCACTGGTATGAGCTTTCCAGACTATTTAAATTCTTGCTCTCAAAAGCCTGTCACAGCTGTATTTCTTATAAGTACAAAAATTACACAAAACAAAGTACATAGCTGCACATGCATATTTACTGAACTCTGAAGCAATGTTACTTACTCTGGGTGTGCTTTCATGCTGTAGAGTGGTATTATTTTAAATAGACAAAGAAACATACCTGTTTTTTCCATTGGTACACTTGAGGATCTCTTTCACTTTTTACAGTATTTCAGGGCTGGCAGGAGAACTGAGCCATGCAAGAAAAACCCCACTTCCTTCCCTAATAGGACTTTCCATGTAGTTTTCTTTCAAGAGTTTCTGTCTTCATCATTTTGATGACAGCAGCACAGTGCAAGTGGTTAGTGGGCTTGTTCCTGATGCCTCTGTTCCTGTGCAGTCACCCAACATCAGCTTGCTGTCCCTGGTCTCCTTTTTCTTGGGGAGAGGGGGGCGTTGAGAAGTCTATTTAAATGCTCTGATCATGTCCTAGATTAGATCACTCACAAGGCAGAAATCAGGAAGTGGCAGCACATTCCTTGATACTGCACATTAACCACTGCACGTCCTGAAACAGCTGTTGTTAGAAGAGGCTGAGTCACCTTATAGATCAAGTTACAACACTACCTGAAGAAAAGCTCTTTGTCTTCCCACCCCTTTTGTCCATAGTGCTCAGAAATACTGCTGGAGGCTGAGCAAAGCTGTGCTGTCAGCCGGATGTTGGGTAGCTCAGTAAGAAACAGGAATACGGAGCACTAGTGCACTCCTGCTCATCTCAGGGCAACAGGAGACATGAGAGGAGAGGTCCTACTGCATCATCCAGCACATTTGCTTGTAGGCAACAGCATGATACAACATTATGGTGCAATCCTTTCATCCATTGTGCAGATACATCAAACTTCACCATATATAGTTTGTTTTGTCTGCTTGTCTACCCTAGAATCTGATTTCCATTATGGTGAATGTTATGATTTCTAGCTAAAACATACTCATGGTCATTTTTGCTTAATCTCTAGCTTTGATGATTATTTTAAATCTATGAGATCTTCACTTTCCTAGCCTAAATCAACTACTCTTCTGGTCTCCACTCATGTGGCAGACTCTCCATTTCCCTTATCATTTTCTGCTCGCCTTTGTCTGCACTTGTTGCAATAAAATTTATACTTCCTTAAATATAACTCACCTTCCATTGATATGTATATACTAAAGACATATGCAAACTGGAGTTCTTTTGTTGGGCAATTATAAACCTGGTCAACAGAAGTAATGATTGCTCTGAAAGCAGCTGAGCAGACACTAGCCGTGAGGACAGGCTCAACTCTTGTGTGTCAAATGATTCAGACAGGGTGGAATGAAGCACCAGGTGCTGCTAGGAGCCAGTGGGATAAGATTAAAAGAAAAACTTCAAGAGAACCTCTGGGAAGCCCTCCTGTTCTTAAGAAGTACCATGCTGGAAAACATTAAAAGTAAGAAAAAGTGCACAAAAACACTGCAATGAACCATCCTTCCCTGCAGGAATGGAAGGCACGTTTCTATTGCCAAACAAAAAGGATCTCCAAGTTGGGTTGGGGGTTTTCTGACACCAGAAGTGGCTGTCCTGTCCCAGTTTCTAAAACTAGCATCTCACTGTAGATCCATATCCATTGGGAAAGATGAACTCCCTGTGTGCTAATTCACTTCAAATGTTCAGGCATCTCAGCTATGGAGACAACTGAAAATCCCAAGCATTTCTGTTGGCAAGGAGCTCATTGAATTTGACAGCTCTTTTCCACTTGTTGTGCTTAACAACTGAGTGGTCAGGAGCAACCCATGGTTGTGAACATGTGCCAGGCTCTGCTGGCTCAAGACACTCGGTACCTGCTGCAGCTCAATGAGAATGTAGAATGGGAAGACCTGATAATTCCGGTCCCTAGAGCTGGGGAAATCCTTAAGCATGTTAAGCACTGATTACAGTGGTTAGGCTGGGCTAACTTGAACACTTTGACATCAGTGTGCTAAGTGATGCCTTCATTGCCCTTTCAGAAATTCTTTCCCCACTTTAGGCTGTTGCATGACAGTGGAAATACCTCATGGCAGCATGAGAGCATCCCTGTAATCCAGCGGGAATAGAAATATAGTTTTGCAGTGACCCAGTTTCCCCTTCCTAGAAAGCAAATCTTTTATCTTTTTTTACAGCACCTATGAGGGAATAGGAGGCAGCAGGGGTATCCCAAAGCCAAGCAGGATAACTAGGGCAAGGTGGTCGCACCAGGCTGAAAACATGAGCATTATCTTGCAGGAGGCCCAGGCTGTGCTGCAAACACAGAGTGTATCATGATGGCCAGGCCCAGCCACACCCCTGTTGGCTGCCAGACCAGGTCCTGCTGTGTCAGTTGCTGACTCCTCCCTGGCATATTTCTGAACATGTGTCCTGCTCCTCCCTCGCAGACCTGTGCGTCTGCTGCCTGCAACACATCATGCACAGCACAGGGCAGGCTTAGCTTTTGGAGTCTGAAAATAATAAATGCCTTCCCCTTTCTATCCAGTTAAATGGTTTGTGACCATCTGCCGAGCACTCGGTGTCACACTTGTTTATATCTATTCTCCCCTCTGTGAAGACCTGGGGCAAGGTTAGGAACAGAACCAGTTTTGGAAAAAAAACAGTTAAAGTTGCAACCCACACAGCATCCACTGGTGAGAGATTAATGTGGATTTTTGTACTTTGCCTCATTGTGACTCCTTAATCCGGCATATATTCCAAAGAAATAATGCCATTAGAGGATTAGTGCCACAAGTTCATTTGAAAAAAAGGATTTGCAAACACTGAAATCCTATATTCTATGTACTTAATCACTGAGTATCATTTTGAGGATTTCCTCTCCCTTTAGTAGTGTCTCTTTCAATGAGAACCAAGCAAAGTAGCAACTCTGTTTTGGATGTTTTTATCCACCAAAGAAAACCAAAACCCAAAGCAGCTGGCTAAAATAATACAGAATCTAAATACACTTGACTAAACACATTCTAGCTGTCATACAATTGTAGTTACACCATGGAGGCACTTGGCCCAGTATTTATACAGAATTTAATTTTTTTGGCTATTTTTCTACTAGGAATGTTTAATATTCTGAGTCCTGTAGCATGAAGCAACACAATGACCCTTGCTGGCATCTACCTAAGGTAGTTCCCTTCCCCAGCTTTGCTCACACCCAGCATATCCACTGCTCTTCCCTCTGTAGGAGAAGGAGATGAAATCACTGCCATGTTATTCTTCTTCCCTTTCCTTAGCACACATCTCTGCTGCTGTTTCCCCTTTCTGCATGACAGTTACTGCCTGCAGCTGCCCCCATGGGCTTCTCTTGCTCGATCTGTTGCAGGCTACCTAGCTGAAGTGGGCAATGGCATGGGCCAAGAAATCGATGTGGGAGGAAAGATGCTTATTGCCCCATTGCTGACTTTTCTAGTGCCCGGTGACTTATTCTTGGGCCACACTGACTCAGAATGCATGTGCAAGGAGCTGCTGCCACACGAGGGTAGGAGACAAGTGGCCTGCTCCAGTACCAGATTCACTGCCCTCATCTCTCCCAGCCATGTACATCAAGCCATGCCCTCCACAACTCTCTCCATCCTCTCCTGCTCTGTCCCTTCCCTTCATCCTCTGGCTTTGACTCATTTCTGACCCTTTATAACTAAGGCAGCAAAATTCAGCCTTGCCTACATGGCCATGTAGCCTTCAGCTGACACTGGTGGCATGTTGCTAGTGCCACAAGATCTGTGTTATCCACTAATTTGATGCTGATTCTCTTTACACCCAGGCAATTCACAAAGAAGTAGGGATTGGCTTTAGGGCCAGACAAAAGCCTTCAGAAAACATGCCACACACGACGGCCTGGAAGGACCATTCACTGAGGATGGATGAGCACATGCAGATGCACTTGCTAGAGGGAAGTGCTCTGCAGAACCTAGGTTAGGAAACCTCACTTGGGCTTTCAGGTACAGCTCAGCAGTGTGCTGCCATCTGCATAAATACTTCTTCTGATATTCTTACACTTTCAGAAATATTGTGCAACACTGACAATTCCCTGGAGCAAACTCATTCCAGACTTCCCTGCACAAATGAGTGTGCCTGCCTGAGGATTCTATTTGGCCTAAAGTATCTGAGTATTCTCATCATTACCTACAAAATAAATATTCAGCCTTCTGATTTCAATAGCCCATCAGCCTACAGTAGTTCCTGCTGTTCAAAATACATCTCACTGGGTTATGGAAAGTAAATCCAACTCCCTCATTCAGTATCTATGTACAACCATAGCCTGGTCACAAAACGGTTTGAGGAGACACTGCAAACATGCAAAACCAGCTAAAATCTTGGGTTTGGAAATGCATTCAGCTCTTGAGTAAGCTTAAACAGTCCCCTAAACTCTGAGATTTTAATGGGTAGAACAGCTGAGGAATATTTTGACATTTCACTGTACTTTTACACTTTAAAACATAACAAAGAGTAAAGTTATGAAACTCTGGTATTAGCCTGCAAAGGTGGGCTCTGCCTGACCTGAAGGGGCTGCACTCTTGGCAGGACAATCTTGTAAGCGCAGGTTTTGGATGAACTGGTGGTGAGCAGAGGTGTGTGACAGCCCCTGTTGCCACTAATTAAAGAATTTCAACCTTGCATATACCAGCACCAGCTGATAATAATGACCCATAGATTTGTAGAACATACTCTTTTTTTTCAAAGCCAGAACTTCCCTCACCTACCATACAATAAAAGCAACGATAAATAGATTTTTCCAACTACTATCTCATATGCATTTTGATTTCCATAAAGCACATGACTAAAAGATCTATGGCAGCAAATGTGTACTTATATTCACAATGCAGATATTTTTAACACTGATATTAAGTTACTCTTTTTAAAATGGAACTACACAAATACAAACTTAATGTTTCATTCGCTATTACAATATACTAGTCTGATGGAGAAGATTTTCAGGCTGGACAATTCTGTTTCATTGAACTTCTGCCAGGATTAATCCCTTTTCAGTTAATCATTTACATGCATGGGTAATCTGCAGAGTTCATGCAAGGCCTGCAAACTGTATTAATTACTAGAAAACTAATTGGAAATCAACAGAGTCAAAGGATCAGTGCTACTTCCATACGGTACCATCTGGTACAATGGGTCTGGATAGTTCAGCAAAACTCCTCACTGCACTCTGTG